TTCAAAGAAATTGACAATGGGCTTCCGGACCTAGGGAAGAGAGCAATAGGAGCATTGGCAACTGTATTATTATTTGCAGAACCTTTATCGCCAAACTTAAGCATGTGAATCTCTTCACCACATTTCACACACGGTTGGATCCTACGGACCGTTCAGGAATACGTTATAGGATTCCCCTCTCCACCCTCGCTGGTAGGATGTCCTCATCCTTTACAATTGGCGGCAACCCATGGACCTCTAATTGACGAAGGCATACAGGTCCTGCTCGCCAAAGGAGAAGTCCAGTTGTCTCCGGACAGGTCAGGTTTCCTTCAAGAAGATATTCGTGATCAGGAAAAGACAGGAGACTACCGTCCAGCCATCAACTAATGTCACACGAACAACTTTGTAGTCTATTACCGTTTCAAGATGGAAGGTATTCGTCTGTTACAAGATCTCCTACTGGCCAACGATTGGTTCATACATCCAAGTACAAAGGACGCCTATCTCTCCGTGCCTGTAGCACCAGAGAGCACTCGGTCCTGGCAGATGAGACTCAGGAGGCATCACATTCACATGACTACCATTTGGACTTGACTCGGCACCTTGGTGCTTCCCCATACTTCTGAAACCGGTAATGGTTCATTGACGATCACAAGGGTCCGTTGTCTGATCTGGACGATATAATATTTCTTTGTGATTCCATTTCCAGACTGCACTCATAGACGGAATTGGTAATACCTTCTGGAATCACGGGGAGTCATCGTAAGCAAGGGGTCATCAACTCTAACACCACCTCAAGTGATACAATTCCCAGGATTCGAGATCGAGTTGACCAAATGTGTCCTTTTACCTAACGCGATAGAATCAAGTCATTCGCTGAGAAATCAAGTATACTCTGCGCAAGGACTCCATTCCTTTCCGCATCCTGGCTTGTGTGATGGGACTCCTGTCCTCATTCATTCAGGTGATTTTCCAGGTCTACTACACTACAAAACTATGCACTGACTCTAAGCCCATTATCTGCGGACGGGTCATGCTTACAGCCATTGGATACCAGTAACGCCCGAAGGAAGGGCCAAACTCCATTGGTGATTACTTCACATGCAGGCGTGGAATAGCTACATATCGGTGGTTCGATACATAAACCGCTTGGGCAAATCTCACAGAGGCGACAAAGGACATATATCGATTTTGCCTGACTCGCAACACCACTCTACGTGCAGTATTCTTACCAGGATTTGACAACCTATGGGCGGACTGGGTTTCTCGACTCTGGAGGGACATCAGCAGATGGGGACTGAACGTCTCAATATTCCACACACTGTGGACTCTGCGGGGTCTGCTCTAGTTGAATAATTTGCATCTCGGTCCAACTGGCAATTACAGAACTGTTTCAGCTGGCTTCCGGATGCGGAGTACGAGGCAGTGGATGCTTTACTTTGGAATTGGATGTTCCTAGGAGCCTATGCTCTTCCTCTGTTCTCTAGATTGGTGAGAGTCCTTCATCACTTGCGGATC